TAATATATGAGTATGTAGACCCCGTATCAATAAACACCATAACACATTTATCATACAATAGAAAGGTACATGTGATTATCTCTGGATCATCACGGTCTTCATTAGTCTTGAGATTATACACTCGAGTAGTGGAGCGAACTTCCTGCTGAGTAAAAGATTCTGGTTGACTTCTGCCTCTTCCTCTACCTCTTCCTCTCTAAGACATCGAAGCAGATCGCTGAGACTGTACAGACTCTCCTATCCCCAATGGGCAATCTCTCATGAAATGGCTTGTTTCCCACATCGGAAACAAGTTCCAGATTTAACTCTACATGTCCCACCGTGATATCTTCCACAAGTCTGATAGTGTCTCAACTGTGCTATTCCATCACCAGACCTTACTGATTGAGTCTGTCTAGCTCTTATCTGATTTAATCCTCTAGCGGAGGATGCCACCGATTCAAACCTCGCTTAAGATCGAAAGCTAGAATCTCTGTCTCTCTTAGGTGGTGTAGAACTTGATGAAGCCTAGTTCTTTTATACGTTGGGCTCTTTGCTCCTCAAACCGTTTATTCTGAGCTCTTTCTAGAGCTTTACTACCTCTTGAAACAAGGACAAGTTCAAAACTATTAATATCTACTTAAGCCTTGGGCACAAGCCCTCCACAAACCATTCACACACATCCTTCTCTGTAGGCACCAATTTTGCCGAAAAATGACTTAATTTTTTAAGCTCACACTCATACTCATACACAGTGCGGTTCATTTGCTTCAAGTTCAAGATTCTTGCTTTATTTGTTTGATGAATTGATCTCCTATGTACTTGTGTCTAAACTTTTCAAGGAACAAAAACCATGTCACCTAATCACTGGTCATCCTCAAGGTGACATTCGTCCACCAGATTCTCGCTTGCCCACGGAGTAAGGAGACCACTCTGTCTAACTTCTTCATATCAGAACAGTGGAGTCCATCTAGCATGATCTTTACATCATTGAACCAAAGGTCCGCATCAACAGAACCTTCTTCGGTTTCCCCCTTGAAAATAAGAGTTAAATTCATCCTCTGAGTTGAAAAGGCAGGAGGTTGGAAATGCGTTAAGATAGCGTCCAACGTCTTGAAGAAGACACCTTGATCTTGTACAAGCACTCTAGAAGGTACATGTTATTCACCTTGCCGGGCCAGGGCATGTGAGTTACCGCTCTCAGCTAATCTATCATCTTCCGCTTCACTTCAGGAGCTATCTTGTCCAGGCATATAATAAGATATAACCAAATATTTATATTAGCATAACAACATTCTTATTACTCTTATCAGATCAGAATTTCTTACTATCATGTTGGCATGTACACATTTTAAGACACTCTAGACTCCAGTTTATGCCGAGAATCAGCTAAACCATAGCTATGATACCATTAAATGTAAAACCCCCAACCCGTACCCGACCCGGATACGAATCTGATATGTCATATTGACTTTTCAAAACATGTACATTAATAAAAACCATAGAAAATTTAAACTTTCATTAACACAAAATCTGTATTTTACATAAGTAAGTTCAAAAAATTACAAAATTGATAAGAGCATATGTACATTATGACTCTATTTACATGCCAACACATCTACTACATAACTAAAACATACAGTGCAAAGTACTTCTGTTCTGATCTTCTAGTGGAGATATGCTGCTTTGCTGTTCCTAAGACTGGTCCTCTTATTTTCCTGTACCTACGAGTAAAACACTTACACGCTAAGTCATTGACCTAGTGAGGCATAAACATATAATAAGGAATTTCTATAAATATGAACATTCAATCAACTATCCAGTGACCATTATGCTTATCATAAATCCATGATGCCATATATGAATCAATATAAACAATAATAACATATTAACATGCAAACATGTACATGCTCGTTACATCTTTTATAAGCCCATATACATTATTGAGTACTTTGAGGTTGTGCACACATATTCTGTCACCACAGCTCGTATAAGATTTCCACTAAGCGACATATCAAATCTATATCCTGAAGAACCTATCCATATATTCCGAAGAGCATAGTTATCTGTCCATATGTCCCGAAGGACATAGGTAACCCTCGACTCTTGGCATACCAACTATACCTATAGCTCTCATATCATATAACATGAGTACTATTTTTATATCAATTCTTTTATGATCACATGTTTTCTCTCTTCTGTCACATATCACATATATGTGTAACCATCAATTTCATATCATATAACATGTGTTACCACTATATTCACATGAATCAAATATCATATATCAAATCATACAAACATGTATAACGCATGCATGTTTCTATAATGATCATAACATATGCATGTTCATAATTATTAGATTATGAAAATTAATATAGGGAATAGACTCATCACAAGTTTTATTTCCATCAAACTAAACCTATAGTATGCACTCACCTTGATATCAACTACTTCTATGACTTCCTTTCTTTGGATCGAATCCTAACTCGGGGGTCATTCCGGAACTTGCTTACGCTCGATGTCTACATAATCATATATTTATACACATCAGTATTCTAAATAGCATACTATGATTTCTCATTTCTTAAACTAAAGAAAAGACAAAATTTCATTTTCTATTTGAAGTAGTATCAGTACCCCTATAGGGTATCAATACTAACCGAACTGTGGTATTGGTATCATGCCTAGGAATCGATACCCATATTTCAATTTGTAATTCTCGTTTCAAAGATGGTATCAATACCGTACTTATGGTATCGATATCATTGGTATCGATATTGTTCTTCAGGTATCGATACCTCATGAATGTCTTCCTTATTTTACTCTTGGAGTATCGGTACCCGATGAATCAGTACCAATATCCATAGCCTTGATTTTTCTTTTAGAACCCGAAAATTCACTCATTCTAACTCAAATCATTCATATCTTAACCCCTTTAATACTCTTAACTCAAATATACATACCCAAACCAATTCCTATGCATTTAATATCTCTTTATCCTCAAAATCTCATCCTCAAAATGGAAATCAAGAATCATACCAAATTTTATATATGTTATAATTTCAATTGTATCACTTCATATCCCTTAATTCAACTATTGACAAGTCAAATTTAGCTTCCAATTCTACTTATCAATTTTTTTCCAAGTTTTCATTTAAAAACTCCTTATTTTTAATCTCTCTTAACTCCTTCATTCTTTGATTTAAAGTTAACTTAAACTTTCCTTAAGCTTAAGTATCACTGAATGATCAAAAACCACTCTTAAATTCAATGAATAATTAGTTAACAACTTGATTCCACGGTTGGAAGAAAGAAGAAGTTGAAGAGAACTCTGGAACTTTTCTTTTTCTTCTCTTACATCCCACGTGTAAATATATAAAACCCCTCTCAAATTAATTATCTTACTATCAAATGACCATTTTGCTCTTCCATTCTTTCTTCTTTGATATTTAATCCTATATAAAATTTACAATATAAGTCCCTGAACGATTCAATTTATCTACTTTGACTAACAAATTCTGAAAATTTTCAATTTAGTCACTAAACCGGAATTGAGGATGTTACAGTTAAAGTATGCAAAATACAATTTGTATATGTTTTGGAAACATATTCATTAAACATGATTTTTTAACAGTTTCCATTTAGGGAGAGAGAAGTGAAATTTAGCTCCTAATGGATATTGAACTCATAAAATAAGAGAGAGATGAGATTTCAACTAAGAGATTTTAACCACCTACTCTAGAAATATAGTGAACATGACCTTTTCTTTATGAAAATTTCACTTGATAAAATTATTGAAGTATATTAGAATAAGTTTTCACAAGATCATTATGTAAATTAATCATCTAATTTAAATGTCTGATCATTTTATAAAAATAATGTTTAACGGAAGAAGGTCGTGATGATGCTAAATAAAGAGAAAGAGTGACAATAGAGATCTCAATAAATACACTTATTTGGAATGTTGGTTGTAATACATTAAGGATACAAGGGTTCATTAAAGGAAAACCCTTCAACATATTGATCGACAGTCGAATCACTCACAGTTTTGTGACTCCTAAATGGGCCAAAGAAGGGATTGATTTGGTGCACACATAACTCTTAGCCATCACAGTAGTCAACGAAGATAATTTATTTAACACATCAAAGAGTAATCAAGTGACTTGGAAGATACAGGGGTATGAGATTTTAATCATAAAGCCAATAGTGCGATTTTACCTTGATTTTCCTTTAATATTCGAAATTTTTTATTTGATTAAGGAAACATAAACAAGGAAGAAAACATTCAAAATACAAATATATTCTATTTGATTTGACATTGAACGTTCAAACCCTTAACATTCATGGTGATCAAATTCGAGACCTAAAAAAATAACAAAAAATATTTTACCACTAAGGTTGTTTGATTCATGTTTTGTTGGAGTTTATTGAATGAGTTTTAAACCTGATTAATTTTTTGTATCAATTATTATAAGAATATATCCTTTAATTGTACGTTAATGATAGTAAATTTTTATTATAATTTTAGATATTTTATTTTTTAATAAACATACGGCTTCTATTTTAAATATAAAAAAAGTTACATCCATTCTAGTTCTCTTTGAATCTTTAGTTTAGAACAAGAGGGGATGAGTGAAAAGAAACATTTTCACAGAATAATTTTGAATAAAAAAATGTTTGGTGAACAATTCTAAACAAAAAAGACAAAATTTTATTCGGCAAAAACCGCCTTCTAACACAACAGTTTAAACGTTTCCAAATCATAACCCAACAAAACCCAAACCAAATAAATTTTGATAACTTAAAAGAAAAAGAAAGAAAAAAACATGAAATTGGATGTATTATAGGAATGAGTTTGAAGACGCTACCAAAACAGAGGTTTTAGTTGTTTCAGTTCTTCTTCCCATTGTTTCTCCAATGGCTTCTCTCTTCATTTCCACACGTTCCCTTCTCCTATGAAATCTAGCTCTTATCTCACCCTTTCTCCACACCCCCGTGCTTTCGCTTCCTTCATCGTCATGAACTCCTCCAAAAACAATAATAACCTCACAACCCCACCCTCACAAGATAAGAATGAAAAAGTGTCTTTCGCCGAAGCAACAGGGGAGTTTTTCGTGGAATTGCATCCAGATTAATTAAAAGCAGTTCGAATTATAAAGACTCACGCTCAAAAATCCCTGTTTTCAGAAAACCCAGAAAGACAATCAGTGAGAATGAGCTTGGGAATAGTGGAAACAACGATAAGGATCAGATTGGGTTAGTGATGGAGGATGAGATAGAACCAGAGGTAGATATGGGAGCAAAGATCAGTGTTTTGAAAACCGAACCGATCAGTTCAATCGGGAATCGCTGTCTAGTCCGGTTCAATCTACACCAGTTAAACTGTTATTAGTGAATCGGTCGAAACCGTTGAATCGTTCGAATCGGACCGGCTGAAAATCGGAAAAAACCGTCAATTTTATTTGTATTAAAAAAAATTAAACCAAACGACGTCGTTTGTTAAACGAGCCAAGTCGAACTCGAGTATTGCTGAGCTCGACTCGAACTTGAAAACTTTAAAAGTAAGCTCAATCGACTCAAACTCACGAGCTAAAAATTATCAAGTTCAACTCGAAATATAATATTAAAACTTAAACTCGAAAAGGCTTGAACTCAAAAAAAAAATTAGAAGCTCGATTGAAGCCTAAAATTCGAGCTCGATTGAAGTGAAAGAATAGTTCACTCAATACTCACCAAAAGGTTTCATGATTTTGAATGTCAAATTACCTCTATTATTTATAGAAGTTAGTTGGGATGCTTTTCTATATTCTTAGTCATGTGAGATTGTTTTGTTCTCATATTTTTACTCTTTAGACTTTTGGGATGCTCTTCTATGTTTCTTAATCATGTGGGATTGTTTAAAAAAAAATTAAACCAAACAATATCATTTTGTTATGATTTTTTAGCCCTAAATTTATTTTTTAATTATAGTTATATAATTATATTTATTATTTAATATGTTTTACCTTAAATATTATGTTGTAGTTAATTTGAATAATTTTGTTTCACTTGATTTTACGGTTTTTAACTTATATATGTTATGACTTGCTTTGTATATGACTTGTGATATAAAAAATTATTTTTTATTAAATATTTTTGATATTTTTATTTAATTTTTTAAATAATTATAATGATTCTTCGACCGGTCGGATCGTTTGACCAATTGAATCAGTGAACAGTCTAACCGGTCCGGTTCTGAAAACCATGGCAAAGAGTAAAGGATATTGAAGCTGAGAAAGAAAGAAGAGTAGTTAGAAGCCCAGGGTTTAGCTTTTCTGCTGCTGGTCTTTTGTTCCCTTGTCATCTTGGAGTTGCCCAGTTTCTCATTGAAAAGGGTTACATAAAGGTTTAATCTTTACTCTTTTTCTCAACTTTACATAAATTGCTTCTTTGATTGTTCATCAGTTCAGTTTGATTTCTATAATTGCATTTTTCCCCTGATGTGGAATGAAGAATCTTGGCTTCCTTGAGCTTTAAGTTTATGCTATAAGCAAGCATATCAAGTTAGCATGTAAATTCTTTCGGGGTGAAAGCAGTCACTGGTGGTATCTATTTTAAAGTTAAAGGAGGGTACGAATATTTTCTAGCAAGTAACAAATTGGAAACACAATCTGAATCACTATTCTGTCAATGTTGGTTCTTTTCTTAACGAATTTCCATGGTCCAGTTTGGATATTGAACATATATCTGACTTCACTCACCTTCTATGATCATGAACACCCTTTTTGATTGTACAATATATCTGCTCCGGCTTTAGAATGACTGTTGAATTGCATTTGCCACGAAATTTAGCCATCTAGTTTCCAGAGGAGATTATGGAGACAATAAAGGGTTTTTTGGTTGGTGTTTTTGCAGCTTGGGAATGGTAATCATGTCATCGATACAGACCCAGAATACTTGTTCCTATTAAGCATATCTTCACCTTAGAAGGGGCTTTGGAAGTATGAGTTTTAGGCAAGTACTCTATGAGTTATTGAGAACACTGGCAAACTCTTTATCTGACTCTGTGCTGTGATATTTCATCATAAACCACACTGGCCATACCCGATATTGTTTCCCCCCCCCCTCTGGTTTAGGAAACCACACCATTGGCTGGTTCATCTGCTGGTGCCATAGTATGTGCAGTGATTGCTTCTGGAGCTAGCATGGATGAAGCCCTAAAAGCAGCTAAAATCCTGGCTCATGATTGCCGGGTTAAAGGGACTGCTTTTCGTCTTGGGGTATGCCTAGCACAATGATTGTATTTGTTTTTAATGCACTTATCGTGATGTTTTTATAAATTTAGTTACTTTATATTTTTATAGTGTGGATGATTGATGGTCACTAATTAATAATAAGCATGTACATTTGTGGTCTACTTGCTCAATACAAACGGATGCAGAGATTAATGATTATATTTAATCATCAATGCATTTAAAGGATCCTGGTTTCTTCACCTTTGATATTTTAGTAGCTTAGTATCTCATTTACTTTTTTGGCCATGTGCTTAATATTTCACTGAAGAACTCATGTTTCTGCATCAGCTTCTCATCAAGTTTATGTTACTCGTCCTTTTCTAAAGCCAACAGGCTGTTCTCCGACATGTTCTTGACAAGTTTCTGCCTCATGATATTCATACTAGGTCCAATGGGAGGGTTCGTGGTGAGTATAGTAACTGGAAAACAAATTAGAAACTGTATGTATATTACTTTACACAGGGAGTATAAAGAGCTAAGAAATAATTTTTCTTGAAGCATGCATGAGCATACGACAGAATAATGTTATTATCCTACAATCAGGATCTGTGAATCACACATTTAGATCATGGTTACCATGGTGATAGCTGCTTGGATCAAGTTGGTAATAAGGAAAATCTAGATAGGTAGGCGGCACTGGGGTGGTACTGGTAACACGAAAAGCATTGGTTAATCAGAATGTTCGAGAGATGTTTTTGATGTCTAGGGTTGCATTTTAAGATACCAAAGTGGCTACAAACACATTATGCAGACATTATGCCAAGAATTTCCTCCTTTTAGTGCATGACATTCTTTATAAAGTAATCTGCATAACATGGCTGTCTGAATTTGACTTGCTTATCTCCACCACTTTGAACAACTAACATTTCTTTTATTTTATTTGCAACTATTATGTCAGTTGCTGTAACTCAGATTCTTTGGAGGCCTAGAGGTTTACTGGTGGATCAATTTGATTCTAAAGAAGATCTAATCAATGCAGTCATTGCATCTTCCTTCATTCCAGGGTAATTGGTTAAGGCACAGTTCTGAATTGAACCACTTGCTATGAAGTTGCCTGAACCTGATACAACATATATTTGCAGGTATCTTGCTCCTCGCCCAGTGACAATGTTTCGGAATCGTCTATGCATTGATGGGGGTTTGACATTATTTATTCCCCCAACTCTGCATCTAAAATGGTATTTTCTTGTGATTATTTAAAACTGAATTTGCCTCCGAAAATTCTGGGAAACTATTTGTGCCAGTACATTAGATTTTAATAAACTTTGCAATCAGATAGAGGGCTGAAACAAGGATGATTGATCATAAATGGTTTTGAATTAAATTGATAGGGTGTTAAGTGGCATTTTGATATTCTGAGTAGCACTGCAATAATATTTTTGTTCTCAAAAGTTACTAAAATGTTTTGTAGCTATAGTATACAAAGCTAGAATTCGGTCAAATCTGTTCTAAGATTCGCATATCACATTCTGTCTGATTATTGTTAAGACTTAAAGAAAGCCTTGTATAATAATCCACCATTGTCAAGCAACGATGGCAACAATGATTACATAAACTTGCTCCTGATAGTGATATTATGGCTGATTTTGATTTTGCAGGTCAGAGTTTGTGCTTTCCCAGCCAGTCAGTTGGGATTGCCTGGAATTGGGATAAGTCCAGACTGCAATCCTGAAAATAGAGCTACTGGAAGACGGGTAATCTCATAGCTCTGCAAAAGTTAATTGTTTTCCTCGGGTATAAGCCTCTGAATTCTTGTTGCAAACTACTTACAGCTTTTAAACTGGGCGCTGGAGCCAGCAGATGATGAAATTCTTCATAAACTTTTTGAGCTTGGATATCTAGATGCAGCTGTATGGGGAGAGCTGAACCCTGTGGAGAACATTGTTGCAGAACAAAGTCCCTTGTTGGAATGGTTCTGCAAAGTAAATACTTGAATGGTCCTTAATATTAATGGATAGCATTTCAGGGTAACTCTCCGATTACCCTAGCAAGTAGGGTAATTCTAATTTTACAACATTTAACTCTACGTATATCCAGTTCAGGTTTTCCAATTACAACTATACACGTTTATTATAATTCCATGAACCAAAGGGGTCCTACAGCATTCCAGTGCTATTATAGTTTCTTTTTAGTTCCTCATTTGTGAATAAGCTATTTGGTTTGAATTTTCCGTCAAACATTATTATTTATACCATGTAAGAAAATATCATAAAGCAATATTATTTCTTGATATTTCCATGATATTTGAAGAGCTCAAATGCCGTGGATGTGGGATTTTCTGAATTTTATTGTCAGAACATTGCAGAGAGCAGAGAGATTTACATGTTAATGGAATTATTATTGATAAACTTGAAGAAGACAGATTCCTTATGCTAATATGCATTCAAACCAATATTCATGCAGGGTTCGATTTTATATTTTGCAGCCAAATTATCTACACATCCATTTCATTTGTCGTTCCATTCTCCTTGTTTTGTAAATAGCTGATATATAAAACACAAAACCTAAAATTTCATAATATGTAATCCACATAAAGAATTTGGAAATTCAAACTATATAGTTCAAGATAAAACTTAAAAATTTAAAATATATAATTAAAGAAATATAATTAAATTTAGAATATTTTGAGATTAAAAACATAATTTAGGAAATAATTCAGATTGTTAGGGTAAAATAATTGAAAAATGAAAAATCTAATAAAAATTAAAAATAGGTATCCAGGTACTCGTCGATCCAACAAGCTAAAAGCTGTGACCTGAATCGGGACCCTTGAAAACAAAGGGTGGAGCATTTGACTTGAGAATTTAGATATTTTAAATAAAAATATACGATTATTTTTATCTGGGTCAACGAATTAGATAAATCAAGTCGAGTAATTTTTTTGAATTAATCATTGATATTCGATCTATTGACCAACTAATCCAGATCGATAATGCAGAGGTGAGGGCGACCCTCCCAACCCAATTTGCTCCATTCGAAAACGCCAGGATTCGAACCCCTTGACCTTGATTAAGGGACCTAACACTTCTTCCCACTAGACCAAATGATTGTTGGTTCAAGTCGAATAATTTTAAACACTCACGTGAATGGGAAAGGGAGGGACAAATATGGGCTGGGCTTGAATCTAGCCAAAAGAATTTGACTATTTCTTGTTTTACGTATTTAACCCAAGCCGTTATAACCAGAGCGGTAAAAGGAATTGACTCCTTCTTTTGGAATGAGATGAAACTGATATGAAGCCCAGCCCAAGAACATCTCACCCTCAGGCTCAAATACAATCTCCCTCACGCCAGAAAAAACAAACCATCTTCATTCTTCAGTACCAAAGCAAGAATTAGGGTTGTGTTCGGAAATGGCGTTGGCAGCGCGCATTAGATCCTCTTCCCCGCTCTTTCACAGGTTTTTCAGATCCGATCACCTCTCTTTTCACACTCCCGGATCCACCGTTCATCGAACTCTACTCTGCCCCGAGGTAATCGTCATCAATCTCATTGGTACCTTCCTCTATTGTGTATTATATTTCATACCCTATAGTTCAATCGCATCTTCTTTTTTCACGCGTGAGATGATCCAGATCTGATTTTCGATATAATTTTTTTTGTGTTTACTTCTTTGTCTTTGTTTTTATACTTCTTTTATGTTTTTATTATGAGATGAAATGACGATGTTCAAATTGACTGCTTAGACTGGATAGTGCAAAGCTTTATTATGTTTTCATCGGGTTTGTTTTATTGTTTACTCTGTCTGATTTTCCTGTTGTGTTTCTTACAGCTATCGAAGAATTATTCCACCGCTTCCCCGAAAAAGGACGAGAAAGTTAAGGTGCATTGGTGGTTTCTTTTAGCTTAAAAAGATTGTTGTTTTTCATGAATTCATCATAGTTTTGATTTACATGTCGTAGTAAGTTCATGCTTTTGAACAATTTCATCGCCCCATTTATCTTGGTTGTAAAAGGCTCAGGGTGGAATTAAGTCAAGTTTTTATGCGTTTTAACTATGTCTGTTGGTTATTGGGTTTTTAGGTGCCTTTGGCTTTGTTTGGGGGATCTGGAAACTATGCGTCTGCACTGTACCTTGCAGCAGTAAAAGGAAATGCTCTGAACAAGGTTGAGTCTGAACTTCTTGACCTTGTTCAGGCATCAAAAAACAGCCAATTGTTTTCTCAATTCACCAAGGATCTGTCAGTACCTGCAGAGACACGAGTCAAAGCCATTAATGAAATATGCGGGGAAGCTAAATTTTCAGATTTTACAAAGAACTTTTTGGGTATGGAAACTGGAAAATAGATTAACAAAGTTTTTACCTGAAGTATGTAAATTATTTAGAGCTGTGCTGGCTTTCCTGAAGTTCAACCTTTTGTGATTGCGATGAACTTTGAAATTGAGACTAAGGCTACCTTGTTCATTCTTTATGAACATAGGTGTCTGATGTCCAAGTGAAATGCAAAACATAAGGTGATCATCATACTTGATATTCAGGGAAGAATGGGTCACAAGTAGCTACTTTTGCTTCTTTAACTAATGCAGGAAATCTTGATTGTTATCATTGGCATATAAAAGCATATGATGTTGCATGCATGGTTTCAAAGGGTTCATTAATTGTATGATAGTAATCTACCTGGATATTGTTATCTAGCTACTTATTTATGTAGGATATTTAGCTTGGCATATTGTGGTTGACCTTTTTCCTTTGTTCTAGTTGATTATTTATCAAGCTTTTTTACTTTGTGTATTGGCCAAATCATGCGCTGTCTGATCTTCTCAGGATAGACTAAAATATGGAAAAGCTCCTTTCGTCCATGTTTATGTTTTCTTTGTTGTTTTCCTTGTTGAGACTTTTTTGCGCCGTTAATTTTGTAGTTGTTTTTTGGTCTAAGAGATTCTTTCTTATCCATATATGATTCCCTTTTCCTTTTGCCCAAATATATTGGTTTCAATTAGTGTTTTTGTGTCTGCTATAATTTGCAAATCATAGTAGCTGCAGTTCTCTTTTTATGATATTCATTTCTTTATGGCCTTCCATCAGGAATTTGTTCATTGCATGTTAGACTGTGCTACAGCTTCATTTGTATATCTTTATTGTAAAGGGCTTTGTTTTCCTTATTACTCTTGGTTTGTTGTTTTTAAGGATTAAATGCTTTTCTGAAGTTTTTTTATATATCCATGCTAGTTATATTGGCTGAGAATGGAAGGCTAAGACACATAGAAAGCATTGCAAAGAGATTTGTGGAGTTGACCATGGCTCATAGGGGAGAAGTCAAAGCAATTGTCACAAGTGTTATTGTAAGTCTACTATTTAAGTTTAGTTATCTGTAAGACCACTTTCATCACCATTTCAAGGAAATGTGTTCTTAAATCTGAGATATCAATCTATCCTCTTTATCTCCCTTTGAAGGCAAAGAATGCAGCTTAACAATGAAAAGCAATTAAGTAGATACTTGAAATTTTGGTCCAATTGTCTATTTTATATATGCACTGTTAATCTCTTGAGGTCTTTGTGATTGCAAAATTCTTTTTCTTAACCTATAAAAGCCAGATGTTGGCGATGTCACATGTTTACTAGCATCTATTCGGCTGATTCTAGTGTTAAGGGTATGAATTTGGAGGTCTTTCATTTTGGTGGTTGTCATTTTGTACCAGCCCCTTCCCCCTCAGGAGGAGAAAGAACTTAAGGAGACCTTGCAGGAAATAATTGGGCAGGGGAAGCAGGTTAAGTTGGAACAGAAGGTATTTATTATTTTTTTTACTACCCCCGGCCCTCTTTTGTGAATAGCGTTGTAAATATAATGCTGTGATTGTGGCAGATCGACCCTAGTATTCTAGGTGGGCTTGTGGTAGAGTTTGGACAAAAGGTGTTTGACATGTCCATTAAGACTAGGGCACGGCAGATGGAGAGGTTCCTGCGTGAGCCTATCAACTTTGGTTCTATCTGAAGGATGTTATAATCACCTCTCTGAAGAATAATTAGTGGTCTTTCTTTCTTTCTGTTTTCTTCTACTTTGTCACAACATGCGATGGCATTCACAATAAAAGCAACTTTCTCGGCATTTATTGTTTGATATTTGTATGGCGTTTTGCTCTTAAGAGCTAAACTTGACTCTGCCTGTTCAGATTACTGTTTTTGAATCCAAATGTATAACATGCTTTCGGAAGCTGCGGTGTTAATGACTTAATTAATTTGCAGATTATCTTTTTGGTACTTTATGCAGAACCTTTTTATGATTCCAACCCTTTTATCTCTTCCTTATTGTAGGTGGTACGAAATAATTGATTTTCTTTTCGCTGCAACGATGAAAGTAGGATTTTAGTCCAAAGTCTTGCATGAACACAACTGAAAGATACTTTTTTATGCCTATCTTTGACCGGGTATGAAATCAAAGCCCCCATCAGCCATCTACCTCCCTCAGGATACCACCACAAGCCGTTAAAAATTGGAATTTTCATTGCTCATTTGCTTCCCCCAACGACTTTCCTTTTCCTAATATTTGTTATTTCTTCAATTTAATTTTCGCCTTGGGGCTTCTTTGTGAATTTTGTTTTTCCAAATTCCTAGCATTCTGCTAACATGTTTACTGTGCATGTTTGAGCCGCGCTGGTTTGTCATATTTGGGATAAACCCAGTTTAGGTTCTTCTACTTTACATATATTTCAATCCCGTTTGTTTCAACATGATTTATTTGCTATTTTAACCTATTTAATTTTGTCCATTTTTTTACAAATTATTCCCATCACCATTCTATTGGCTTCTTTGTGTGTGTGTGTGTATATATATATATATATATATATATATATATATATATATATATATATATATTTGATTATTATTATTATTTACTTATTTATTTATCATTGTAATTTTTAGTAGCATATTTTCTTGTAGTGTAATTTTTCAAGACAAGTGTTTCCCTTGACATCTATATTTATGTTTATATTCTATTTATACTTTGTTGTTATTATTATTATTATTATATCATTTTCCCTTTTATAGTGTTTTTAAAATTTTCATTTTACGAGATGAGTAATCGATTTTCGGATTCGATCATGATCTCGATGTTAGACGCAAACCAAACTTACATGTATTTGATCGTATTCCCTTTAAAACAACCAATGACGAGACCAATTGCTTGACGAACTCTACAAGAACTCTACATATTCGAACTACTAAAAGACGAGTTTGACATGCATATTTGGGTTTTTGCGTCCTGACCGATTCTTTTGATTGCAGGTCAGTCATGTTCAACGCACCAATATTGATGTATAATGTGTGAGGCGATACATTTAGTTGTAGGTCTGTTCACCACACCAATGTTGATGTATAGGGGATGGTTTACGGTGATATATATAGTGAAAAATAAGATCGAGAAATTGGTTGGATGTGAGTAAAGAGTCACTAGCCGATCGAAATCGTGATCGAGATATTGAGATATAAAAATGTTCAAACAAACAAAATTATTTTATATAAGATTTTCTCATAACAAGAGTTAAAATTCAACTTGGAAGAGTTTCTGAATTTTGCTTGTTATGTGATTGGTTTTAGTTTCACTTACGGTTGGTCTATTATTAAAAAAACTTGATTCTACCATTAAACATTACATAGTTTGGTTAATGCTTGCCCATTTAACAAATAATTACCACGCACATAAGTGGTATGATGGAAACATCATCTCCGACATGAGTACCATAGCACCCGAATTTAAACTCGATAACGATTCTAGACAAAATCAAGGGGTTGATGATGTTCTGTTTTGGTGTCTCCTCTTTCACTTCGCTTCTCTCGAATTCGGAGGCATCCATTGAGTTGTTGTTGATGATTGGTTTTCGCTCTTCATCATCGATCTTCATTGTTTCTTCAACATTTTTCAGTTCATCATGCTCTCCATCGCAGATGTCTCCCTTGCTTTGAACCAGAATATCTGCAATCCACTTGTGTAATTGTTCGGTCGATGTTTCATCTACGTGCAGAGATAGATCGATCAAGTGTTAGATACCCCAAGATTTATTTCAAGATTGAAAACAAATTGGAAATGGAAATCCCAACACAGTGAATCTGATAATGAAGAAGGCAACAAGTTGTGAGCATCGGTCGCGACGTACGTACCCAACCGAGGGACAGTGTGGCCTTGGGGATGCCTTATGATGAGAGGATCATGGAAGGCATTGGCCAGCTCCTCCGAAGGCAACCTTAACCAGTCCTTAGCTCCGATGAAGTGGACCGATTTCACCTCGATTTTGTCTTTGTACGCCACCTCGCATATGCTTGGATCTCTGAATTTCGATCCAGATATAGATACAAACATTTTGAAGGGTGGATGCTCCTTTAACACCTTCCCCTGTTTTGTCACAACCTCTTATAAGATATAAGATAAATGTATGCATAATGATTGCACAATAAAATATAATTAAATTTTACATGAATTTTTTTCCTGAAAAGATCTCGGGAGAAAAAATTTTCTACTTATAAAAATTTACTCAAATTAGGTTTTGCTTTTAATCAATATAAAATAAAATAGACTTTATAATTTTAATCTAACTATGTATCCTATTTTCCCTAATCAATTTGAATCAAATCGAATTGGATCAAGCTCTAGCATTACATCGTCACCATTTAAAAGGTCATAGAATAGACCAGGGACGAAACTACTTAGGGATTGGGAGGGGTTGGTGTCCCTCCCAAATTTTTTGGTATAATAATATTTTAGGTCTTTTTTTTTCAATTTAAATATTAGACAAATAAGGGTTTTGTCCCTTCCAATTTTTAGATTTAATTACTTAATAGATTATTGTTCTTTTGATATAAATAATTTTTTTACCCTCAACATTTAATCTTAACTCCGTCTTCAAATAGAAAGAGTTCCAGCTTTTGATAATGAACAAAACTCCTAAATTACCTGTGCCTTGTAACCCAACAGAAGAGCACAAAGGGTTGCACCCTGCAACAGGCACATCACCTAATGTTATGATTTCAATACAATACAAAACTGGAAAAATTGGATGTTAGTTTAAGGAAGAATACTTGTGAAAAGCCAAGCAATCCATGGAAAGGGCCATTTTGGGTGATATATTGACACAGGTAAGAGATGCATTCCTCAAGGTTTGTGTATTCTGTGAAATCCTTGTCGAATTGGAACCACTCGAAGTATGGAGGAGGGAATATCCCCTCTATATCCGACTTCCCTCCCGCACCATATAATCCATCTGGATAATCCTGCATTTTTCACATTCATGTTTTCTAATCAGGGAACCGAGAGGGTTGACCTGATATTCGTCCTCTGAAAATTTATAATTTATGTATATTTTTTATTGATAATTTATTTTTTCTCTCCTAACATAAAATCTTGCATCCGTTCATATTCTTGGTTGCACCATCTTAACTTATAAAAAATCCAAAAGAAAAAGGAAATCAAAAAATTGAGCATGCAATTATTTATGGGAAATGATGAGTAGTAATGCATGCATGCATACCAAGTGAAAGTGATGAAGGAAAAGAGAAGGATCCCACTTGCTGATTTGCTTCTCCAGGAACTTCCCACTGGTTCTAAACCCATGGAGGCATAATATCTTCATTTTCTGGTTTTGTTCTTCCATTTTTATGAGTAATTGATTACTAATGGTTTTTTATTTATAGCGAGAGTAATGGTTTGTTCATTACCATTCCTACCTACCACACTTCCCTGGTTAGGTATAGCTATGTACATTGCCTTGGTTGGTGCATCACAAGCCAATATAAATGCCATTTCCTTTCTTATTCAACCAACTATTTCTATTTCTGACGTGGATAAATCTCAACCATATTCTTTACTTTTTTATTTTAGTCAAACATCATACTTTATGTTTGGTTTTATAGAATTGTATATATCAAAATTTAGTTTTAATTTAATTTCAGCCATAGTTTTATTCAAGTTATACTATTTTAGGTTTACTTATCACATATATAAATAAGTATATTTTTTAATTAAAATAATTATTTTTTTTAATATTATTACAATTGAATTGAAATCAAAGTTTTCTCTATACTTTAACTAAAATTAAAGATATGTGTATATAATTATATCAAATCAAAGATTACATATCATATTTTATATTATATTTGTTTGAATAGTCTAAGGTGATTACAAGATATATCTGATCATAACTTTCTTAACCAATTGATAACACACATATTCTACAGACGCAATTACTTGAGCTCAAGACCTTTAAGGAGAACAACATAACTCAAGACCTCTAAGAAGAAACATTCTTTTTTCACCACTGGGGTCACTTTGATGAGTTGTGTATATTGTATCTTTTAATACTATTTTATTAAGTATCTATACATAACATCATTCGTTAATTAAGTTTTTTATGCAAGTTTTATTTTTCTTTTTTCGTGAACAAGAATCATATTTGTAATACCCCCAACCCGTACCCGACCCTGATACGAGTCCGAGATGTTACATTGACTTTTCAAAACAATATACTTATACAAAATAATAGAAAATTTAAACTTATATTAAGAAATTCAATAATTTACTTAAGTTTATATAAAAGCTCACAAAATAATCAGAGCATATACAACTTAAACTTTTGATTGCATGCCAACATTGATTTCATAACAAAATAACCTACTGTTTAAGTTGCTTCTGATATGATATTTGCAGGAGTGATGCTATCCCAGCTGCCTATCCCTGCTCGTCTAACTTCTTGGATCCTACGTGTGAAACACTCACATGCTAAGTCATCGACTTAGTGAGACACAAAATATATAATGATACTATAATGAAATGTAATAACATGAGATCATATCTTCATTCAATGCAAACTACTTAATCATGCATTTCAAACATAGTAACTTATCACATTATTTAATGTTATTTCATATTATATCTTTCATTAGCCCATGATACAATACCAAAAACTTAAGGTATGTGAGTGCATTGAGGTTGTGCACAAAAGCTGTCACACAGCTCGTATTAAATGCAACGAAGTGCCACGTAGAAATGCACCAAAGTGTTGCGTAGAAATGTACCGAAGTGCCATATAAAATGTCCATAAGGACCACATAGAAACTCCATAAGAACCATATACATATTCCAAAGGACCAAATATGTGTCTCAAAGAACCGCATATATGTTCCAAAGGATTACATATACGTCCCGAAGGACCACGTAGACTCTCGACTCTTGGCATGCCAATTATAACTATAGCTCTGATACATGCATCGCAAGGCTCACATCAAAGAAAGAAGTAATAACACTTCCAAATTATCCACTAGTCCAAGCCTTGGAAAAGAAGATCAGAACATCATCATACTTGCAATGACTTTTTGATTGGGATCCTGATCTTATTTGGTCAACATGTTTCTAGAGATACAATCATCTTTCTCTTATCTTTCGAACGATTTTTGAATCACATCAATACAATATCGGAAACTCAAGATACAATCATTTTACTGAAGACAGCGCATGCAGAAATTCCTATACGTGATTTTGTAAATATTACGAATTTTCAATATTTATATTGATTATTTGTAATATAATTTAATATAGGATGATGAATTATCTTTTAGGATTAGATTTATTATTTTATTAGGAATTAAGGTTTGGTTAAAATATTATTTTTAGTTATTATTATTTTATTAGGAATTAGAGTTAAAACATGTTTAGTTTATTATTATTTTATTCATTAGTTATTTAGGACCTTTAGAACTCAGCCCCTATATAAAAGAAGGCTTCATTCAACTTTTGTAAAACAGATTTCTTTGATTAATAATACAATGAGAGTTCGTTTTTGCAAGTGTTGATTGCCTTGTGCCTTTAAAGCTTCTTCTCTTGTAGTTCTTTCAAGTTCTTGTGAGGGACATTAATCTTCACACTCCAATTTGCCTTTTCATCGCGACTAGGAGGGTTGGTTAGAGTCATATTATCGTGTTTGCCTTTTCATTGTGACTAGGAGGGCTCGATAGGACATTATCCATTGATTTTCCACATATCCATCCACACCATCAATCATCTTTACCGTTCATCTTCATAAGGGATATATTTTGATTTCTTGGTTATCTTACTTTATTTTCAATTTCTTTATCTTTTGTTTATCTTGTTTTAATCTTGTTTCTTATATTGTTTCCTACCTTGTTTCCATCACCTAAAAAAAACCCTAAGAACCCTACTTGCTGTCTCCACCTTCCCCTATTCATTCCCCGTTGTTCTTCATCGAGTCTAGAGCTTTCTAGGTTTGATTCTTCAACAAGAGCAACGTTCATTAACCCGCCACCGCTTCCCTATCAATGGTATCAGATTTGGGCTGATTCTTGGAAAGAAGCAAGTAATCTTTCTTGTTCTTGAACACAGAACCTTCAAGGTACCCCAACGGAGCTAGTTCGCAAAAGATTCATCGTTTTAAGTCACAAAAATTGAAAAAATTGTAAACGAGTAATTTAGGGCTGATTTTCTCCAGGTATCATATTCATCCTAATAGTAATCTCCATTCCAAAATTCACCCCAATCGGATATATCATTCAAGTTTTATCGACAGATTCAGTCTAGAATCTTGTCAAATTTCTTGAAAATTATATAGGAGGAATTTCGTGGTAAAATTTTTCAGCTTATAACTTCATATATTTAAGATCATTCACACAAAAATCATAATTTTTGGAGATCAAGAAAACCTTCGAACAAAGTGATCACGAAAAATAGATTGTTTGAGGACTCACCGTTCAACAGAGTCTATTGGATACTACTAAAGGTATTTGATTCTGAAATTTTACAGGTAGTTTCTTGAAGCATCGAAAGACATTCAAGAATATTTTCAAAATTTTTTGACACCGTTAACCTCCTAAAAAACGGTTCGCAAGCTGATCCAGCATTTTTTAGGTTTATTGTTTGGTTCTTTTTTTCTTTGACTCTTAGTACTTTAAGTTATTTTGTTTTTCTTTTTTATTGTTCTTTTTCATTATCTAACACATTATCTTTCTTGTGTTTGTAGGACTAAAGAGTTTACATACTTCTTCCTTCTTTGTATTCTCGTTCTCTTGGAGTCTAACCCTTGTTTGGCCTCTTAGAGCTTTTAGGTTTTTCTTATCGCCTTTGGTAGTAATCAAACTCCGATACGAACTATGGAAGACAACTTGGTAAAGTGAGTTTTAAAGTATACAAGATCGACTTACTTGCCTCTCTTTGTGTTATTTTCTTGGAGTGACTTGTGAGGTTTCTTGCTTTGTTGAATTTTCTTTCTTTTATTTTTATTTTACTTTAAAATTTTCTTTTGAGTGTTATGGTTTCAGGATGAGCGAAAATAACAACAAGACACTTACGGCTATCTTAGCCGCACTTGCCCGACTCACGACTCAAATTGAAAGATTTGATGAAACCATGAGAGAATGACAAGAACCATAACTAGATCTACCAAACCAGAATCCAAGACCAAACAATGCTGAACTTTTGGTACCCAAGCGAGAACAACCACGTTTCCAAGCACCCGAACTCTTTGCAAAACCAAAGTTCATGATCCTGTCTTTCAAAGGAGACAATGATCCGGACAGGTACATCGATTGGAAAGGAAAAGTTGATCTCATGTTCGTATACCATGACTGCCCCCAAGCTAAACAAGTTCCCCTCATCACCATGCAATTCGAAAGATATGCTCGAACTTGGTGGATACAAACAAGGAAAAAGATCCATAACTTCCAAATTCAACAATCACTTCTTGGACCGACCTCAAACAAACCATGAGAAAACGATTCATACCGACACGTTACACACAAGAAGTTAAACTAAAACTACACTGACTTCGACAAGGTAGAAGTTCAATTGAAGACTACTACACGGAGATACAGTCCTTACTCAATAGGGCTAACATAATCGAAAAAGAAGAGGTCACTGTGTCAAAATTCGTCGTCGGCTTTAACTCAAACATCACTGATCTTCTTGACCTTCATGGGTACGAAAACCTTAAAGATACACTAAAGAAGGCAATAACAATCGAAGCACAAATCCAAAGTAGATTTCGATTCAGAGAACATTTCCAAGGTACTTCATCCTCTTACCAAGGTAATCTTTCAAATCCTTCCTCATCTTCTACTCCACCTTCTCAAAAAAAGTTGAAAGATGACAAACCCTACAAGGAGAAACAACGACCAGCAAAGAATGTCACACTTTCAACCCCTAAAGATCAAATGAGAATTTATGAGGAGGCAGGGAAAACAAAAAAAAAAAAAGATAAGAAACAGGCAAAATCAAAAGAGGTCACTAGTTACAAAAGCCAAAAGAATAATGACCCATGGGAGGTGAGTGAACCTAATTGTGAGAAGAAAAGAGTGACTCAAAATCTATGTGTGAGCACAAAAGAATTAAGAGAGAAATTTCTTTACAAATAGCCTTCCATCCTTGTTCGCTTTAGGAAATCAATTGTTTCGATTTCTAACATTAACAAGGATTTGCCTAGTGTGTTTTAATCTTTGTTACAGGATTTTTGAGAAGTGTTAGGTGATCCACTTAACAAATTACCACCGAAAAGAGGAAAATAAAACCAAACCAATCTAATTCAAGGTTCCCATCATACCTCGTCAAACATACAATGTCGAAGAAACCAAAAAGTTAGATTTGTTACAAA